AGGCATAGGCGGTGGCCCACGTCGTCCATGCCTTACGCCGCCCTTGGTCATAGAAATGATGTAATTTGAATATAAATTATTTATAAATACGTATGTCAAGTTATATTTTTATTACTACGTAAAATATATTTAAGAGTTTACGACCACTGTGATGGCTGAGACGTTGTTGAAACAAAAAAAGTTATGCATTCCATCATGAACATAAACAGTGTCGTAATTCGCCAAGTGCAAATCAGCAAATTCGTAAAATTTTTGTTTCTTTTGAACAATCCGGATAATCGAAAATCCGGATAATGGAGGTCCGGATAATGGAGGTTCTACTGTATTAATATTGGAATATATAATATTATATTTAATAAATTTTTGTTATTTAAGTTAAGCATGTTTAAACACAGATTTGTGGATGTCATTTATATTACACAAATGTCAATTAACAGGGTTTTTATTAATTAATTTAATCTAAATTCAGTTGCGATTCATACCAATAAACAGAAGTAATATCTTACCTGCATGAGCATTGGAATCTAATTTGAACAACAACATTGTCGATGATTTATGTAGTGACATCTAATGACACAAGGCAATCTTGGTGCCACTGACTTCTGCGTTTGTAGTTTTGTCATTGATTGGTTGGGCCATCAACTTAACACAGGAAATATAAGGAGTTGACCATCTGTGTGTCTCTAATCTGTGACCAATTCTTGCCAAGTAGCTCATTTGGCAATAGAGTTATCTTATGGCAACCAGGGTAAATATAGCATTCAAAATTTTGTTTGTAAACCGAATTATTCGAAAAGCGAGGTGTTCAAAACCCAAGGTTTGACTGTATGTCCAACTGTGCAAATGACGTTTGGGGGTATTAAAGCTATCTCAGGCAATTTTGCAATATAAAAGATGATAATATGGCAATAACTACCCAAAATGGAGTAATGTCTCAGTTATGCTTAAAGATGTTGATTAGAAAGAAAGAAAAAAATTCGTTTTTATTTTAAAACTTTTTTTGATACTATTTAATGGGTGAAGTTTTATGTTGGCTCAAAACAAAATACAGTATTCCATTCATTCTTCACATAGAAAATTTGCAAATTAGTAAATTGCATTTAAAAATTTTTTCTGGACTATTAGGGGCAGTCAAATGAAAACAAGACAGATGGGAAAAAAGTAAGTAAACTGTTTATTATTTCAAAACTAATTGCCATAACTGTTAATACATTTATCCCACTGTGAGACAAGACTGTCAATGCCTTCATAGAAAAATGTTTGCAGTTGCCTACAGAACCATGATTGTACCCAGGTGTGCACCTTTTCGTTCAAAGCAAATTGACGGTCACGAATGTCTTTCTTCGGGGCTCCAAAAATATGGAAATTGCATGGGGAGAAATCATGGCTGTTTGGAGGACGTGTATGGACTACGCTGCAGAAGTTCCCAGCGAAACTT